TTCATTTTTGGTTTGATCTGACTCTTATAAAGATTATTTAACGGTCGAGTCTATAAATTTAGTTTCAAATAGACGGAATGAAGTTTGTTTGGCCTGAAGGGAGAAATCTGAGTCACGTATTTGATTTAAACATATTAGATAAAGTAAGCTGTTTTGATTTACCGTGTTTGTATGACTCAGCTCATTTTGTATTTTCGGCGTCAAGTTCTAGTTGTTTCAAGACTAAAATTATTGACATCGATTGACGTCTAGCAATAAATGATAGATTGGCTGGCGTCGCAAACAGTTGATTCTTAATTAGCTGAACGCCACGAAAATAAATAATCTGGAAGATGACGTCACTTATCAACGTCATATAAGACAATTATTTTATTCTTCTGTTTCTGGTATTTCTTCGATGAGATTCTGTTATTAATTCGTGACTAGTCTTTTGTTTCCTCTTCATTCTGGAATGTTGCTCAAAAAAAAAATAAATAAAATAAAATAAAATAAAAAGAAGCATTGAAACAAAATTACTTAAGAATAGATAAGTTTTTGATTTATAAATCTTTTAATAGTTTACCATTTATCTTATTAATAGGGCTTTTTTTATAGTCACAACTGTCAGAAGGTTTTACATTCTACAACCTTAAATAAGCAGAACAGATTGGAAGGAAAGTAATTGCCCGCGGCGTGATTTGAACACATTCTATTTTCAAAACTGGTTTAAGTCGACTTATCTCACTCTGATCAATGTTGCTTATTTAACTGTCGTAGAAGTGTAAAATAACCTGAATGTTACATTAAAAAGAAACACTAATACGACGAAATATGAATAAGATACAAGTTAGTAACGGGAATGCTTCTATCGAAGAATACATTCAGACAAATTATATATATTTTGGGGTGAAATTTCTCACGTGTAGAAGTTAACTTTCGGAAAATCAAAGAAAAATAAAAGCAAGAAAAGGCAATAAATAAACAAATAAAAATTATAATTATAAATCGTTGTCAACTTACGACCACGATTTGTTACGACCGAGGGGTCGTAAATCTATTTGGTCGTAAGTCGGTCTGTAATACATTTTGCAATAATTTTGGCTACGTCTGATACCATTTGTATTATCTCTCTTCACGTTGTCATGATGATTTTCTAAGCGTAGCTTAGATGTGGTATAAATACAAAAGTGAGGGCCCCTCAGTAAGAATCGAACTATTCAATCATAATTGATCTAGCGAGACAAGCATGCTAACCATTACACCGCTTCGCGTAGCTTAGATGTGCCACAATCGTGTGGAGCATCCAGGAAACGTGTGGCGTACCCAGTGAGAATCGAACTCAGTCGTAATGGATCTAGCTTCCTAACATTACAGCACCTCTACGTGCCTCAAAGGATTTTCTAAGCGTGGCTAAGACGTGGCACAAGGCCGAAAGCGAGGAGCACACAGTGAGTATCGAATTCACTACCAGTAGCAATTGATCTTGCGAAAAAAGCTTGTTAGACATTACATCACGTCGAATTGCCGAAAATGACTTTCTAAGCGTAGCTTAGGTGTGGCACAAGACCGAACGTATGGGGCACCTAGTGAGGATCGAACTCACCACTGAGTCGGAATTGTTGTAGCGAGACAAGCTTGCTAACCATTACACCACGTCGATGTGCCCCCCTCCACGTTTTTATGGTTATTTACACAGTCATGTTTAAATCATGTTGTTACTCTTCTTTATATGCCCTTTTCTTTCATGACGTAGGCGATCATGGCTCTCCACCTCCTCCTATACCTTGTAGCTGTCAATAAGTTTCGTGCCAACCACGTTCTGTCATCCACTTGCTTAAGCCCGCCAGATATGTCATGCTTTCGTTGCTTTCCCTTGTCTCTCTTTCTTTCTATTTGACCTGTGAGTATCAGATTCTCCAAGCCCTCCTTCCTTCCTTACGTGTCCTAGAAACTTCAGCTGCCTCTTCCTGATGTTAACTATGTTTCCTCCTTGTTTGTATCATTTCCAAAACCTCATCGTTGCTCATACACTCGATCCATATCATCCTCAGCTTCCTTTTGTAGGAACATATCTCTGTTGCCTCGAGTCTCTTCTTCATCTTTGAGGAGACCGTCCAACATTCGCTGCCGTAAAGGTGGACAGATGTCATGTAGCAGTTCAGCAATTTTTTGTTTCTTGATTCTACGTTCGTCAAATTTAAGCCAAAAACTGCATACTACAGTACATCTGGTTTAAAATTTGCTAAACATTCGAATAAGTGCAAAACAAAAGAAGATTTTAGTTGCCAAAACATAGGCAAATACTTACAAATTCAAAGCATCTAGCTCTGTCGGGGTCTGAAGCGCAAATTGCCGTATATCAAACTAGGAAACATTCACGCTACCAGACGCGGAACAGTCGTGGAAGGACGGCCTGACATACCAATTCTCGGTCGTGATCGTAAAGTCGAACAGTCGTAAATCGCATATGTCGTAAGTCGGCCATCACTTGTACATGAAACGAAACAAACATGGAAATGTGTAAAATAACGAATAAATAGAAATGTAATTAAATAAAGATAAAAATCAATAAAAAAATCAATAATAAAAATCAATAAAAATCAGAACCAGTAAATCTAAATGCACAAGTAAAATTAAAACAAATAAAATCCAATAAAAATCAATAAAAAATCAATAATAAAAATCAATAAAAATCAAAACCAGTAAATGTAAATGCACAAATAAAACTAAAACAAATAAATAAAAATATAAATAAAAATATAAATAAAATAATAAAAATAATAAAGTAATAAAATGTAAAAAATAAAATGTAGAAAATAAAATGTAAAAAATAAATACAAAAATATATACAAAAATAAGTAAATTAATGAATTAATAAAAAATAAATAATCAGAAAAATGAATAAAATTAAAAATAAAGGAAAGATTAAATAAGCGAAAAAATAGGCATAAAAATATTAAAAAGATAAATAAAAATAATAAACATTAATAAAATAAAATAAGTAATAAAGATAAAAGAGTCCGCTTATATGGCTGTGAAAACTGGACAATCTCATCACAAAGGAGATAGCTTGAAGCAGCAGAAATGTGTTTCTACAACAAGACACTGTGAATACTATGAACTGAACATGCGAACAGTTATGAAGTTTTACAGCAAATGGAATCAAAAAAGCCACCAGAAAGAGACCGTTGAAATTTCTAGGGCACATAATGAGGAAAGTGGGTTTAGAAAATTTGACACTCCGAAGGCATATGGAAGACAAGAGGGACAGAGAAAAACAGTGCATAGCCTACCAAACGAGCTTGTGTGTATGGTTGACAGAACAGGGATTAGGAGAAATAGCGAAAAAATAAAACTTACTAAGAGCTACAAATGACAGGAAATTGTGGAGAGCCATGATGGCCAACGTTCTGAAGGGATATAGTACAGAGAAGAAGAATTGGATTCATACCTTTCCCATGAGTATCTTCGTGCAGTTGAATATAACGAACTCAACTGGAATTGGAACTCGGCTATTCGATTAACAATTTTGAATTATTATTCATTACACCCCACGCTCATCGTCCTGGGTAAGACGATAAACTTCGTCCAGCAGCAAGGCCCCTGATCACGAGGTTTTGAGGAGCGTGGAACTACCTCTTAATTGCTCGTGTTCCCACGTTCACCCTGATCCGGGGTGGTAGCAGCTGTTAGAGTCCCGGCTATGGGCAAATAGTTACCCCACCTCTCAAAACTTAGGTCAAAACATTAAGAAAGTGTAAAAATAGGTTTTAATTCTAGAAATGCTTTGTAAAAAATTATTAGCAGCAATAATCTTTGAAGAAAATTATTACCAGCAATACATTTTTGAAAAAACAAATAAATAAAAAATATTGCCAGTTATATATTTTTTGAATATATATATATATATATATATATATATATATATATATGAAGAGAAAATATTACAAGAAATAGATTTTGAAGGAAAAAAAATATTACCAGCAATATATTTTTGAAAATAAATAAATTTTGAATATATATATATATATATATATATATATATATATATATATATATATATATATATATATATTACCAGCAATAAAAATTTTGTCAGTATTAGATAACGCATTGAGGTTGATATGCCGTAAAACCAAATCAAACCAAACTAAACTAGACCACGCGCTCATCCAAACTTACAACATCTAGTATTCAAAACAGTCACCCATGTAGGTACTGACCAGGCACGACTTCAGCGATCGTACAGGAGTTTGTGCTTCAACGTGATGTGGTTATAAGTCATGTTTGAAACCGTGGACAGTAATGAATTCTATATATACGGTATCTTATTTATTTCTTCGTATACATGATGTCTGTCGTCATCGCCTACCATTTGAGCCTTATGGCCATATCACGTTGAAACACCGATTCTCGTATAATCACCGAAGTTAAGCAACGTCACGTCTGACAATTTTGATCTATGGCTGGGTAATATGTGCCTCACCTCGTTCACATACAGTTTTCAATTCAGAATCATCCTTCTTATAGACTGAAAGCTGAAAACATGAGTATACTTTACTATTTAACCCATAGCTGGAGACAAATTCATACCTTTCCCAAGAGTAATTGCGCGTAAGGGAAGGTAACAAGAACCGACTGTAATGCGAACTTGGTTTTCCGATATCTCGTTTTCAGCTGATATTTGTAAAACCATCTGCACATCCAAACAAGAGCAACAATAGACGTCAAGATGTCGACAATACCTGTGCAACACCGCAACGACAAAACAACAATGCTAAGAGTCTCAGAGACAAGCAGGTTGGTTGATGGAATTTTTATGGCTTATCAACCTTTTACGGGTTATTTAAAGCAAGAAAATATTTTTAGATTATAAAATTTTTTTTTGGATAATAATGATTTACTGATAAAAGTCTTACTAATTAACTCATAAACTGGGGGGAAGAAGAGGCGGAATTGAAACTCGGCTCACCGATGTCCATTTCCGAGCCGGTATCAATTTCACCACCAACACATCCAAGCTTACGGCATATGGTATTTCCAAGTGGACACGCATCTAGGTACTCACTAGGCTCGACATTGCTTAACTTCGGTGAGCGTTTGTGAACCGGTGTCTCAACGTGATATCGCCTTAAGCCGAGACTACCATATTAGAATTATCTTTCTCCTAGACGGATGCCGTATCAAAGACTTGGGGTTCAGAACACACAGTCGGCTAATCACGCTTCCGAAAACGTACCACAAGCTTGTATTACAATGATTCATATCTCATTCAAAAGCTCTATAAAAGTTAGGCACAGGGAACGATTTTCGTTGAGCTCAGATTCAGGATTGCCAGATTATGCTAGGTTAAAAATATATATTAATACATTTTACTAGCCATTATAGTTGCTTTCATGGCTCAAGCGGAATAAGTCTTACTTTTTTTTTTTTTGTATCCAAAATTGCAGTTTGCTTAAAATCGGGCGGCATGTAAGAGAGCTCCTGTGGAGGTCTCTTGATTTGACCATCATATATATATATATATATATATATATATATATATATGTGTGTGTGTGGGGGTGTTTGTGTGTAAAGAAAGACACTTTGGACTTAGGAATATGTTTTCCGCCAGGTGTATAAATAGCAGTTTCAGGCTACTGACTGTAGTGACTGAGTGTCTATTGAGTGGAACTATTCAGTCGAATTAGTGTGAATTATTGTGCGTCGATATCCGCCACGAATTCAATATACGTAAGGTTTAAAATGATTTTAAAAAATGAAAAAGCTTTCCTGAAGCTTTCAATTTAGCTTTAAATGAAGGCTAACGCATTAAATTTACTGCAACCGGTAAGCAAAATATTGGTTGTATTTCAGACAGAAATGATATTGATTGGAATAGAGTTTCATTTTTTTCAGTAAAATCGTTCACGTCAGCACTTTTTTAGAGATTTGTAAACAAAACTTATTTTTCCGTTTTAAAAATCTAACAATATATATATATATATATATATATATATATATATATTTTCTGAAACGCTATTTGAGGTGAATCAGCAAATTTAAATTTAAGTTAATCTGATTTAAAACAAATATTATTTACTCATAGCATAAAATGTTGTATGCAAGCATTTCCTAACCACGGGCTCTTGTTTTTCTGACGTGTTAATCGATTTATTGACGGCGAATTGACCACCAAACCTGATCATAATTATCTATGGTGTAGCTGACGACAATTTTCATTAGTTTTTTTTTCTCGTAAGGGGGGAAAATCCTTAAAAAACGTAACACTTTATTAATAGATTTATCGATTTATACACCCATATTTCAGAAATTCTGCATTGATATACATATATAAAAACAAATTGAAATTCATTTAAAAATAAGCGGGGTCTTCAGATTGTAATAAGCTATAAAATATATGATTAGTAAATATAGTTTTAGGTAATAAAAACATTCCCTAAAATTATCGTATCGAAATTGAACTTTAGAAGATTCAAAATCTTTATAAATTATTCAATTTTAAATTGTAAAATATTGTAAAAAATGAAAACAAATCTTGTAAAAAATAATTTTTCATCAAAAAACTTTTTTCTTCAGACAATATTGTCTTTAATATATATTATTCATAAAAAAACAAACAATTAAAAGCTTCTCTAATTAAATAATGTCTTAGTTTTATCGCGTTTTTTATTTTTCGATTTAGAACAGATTTTCGGTAAGACCGGATCCGACTTCGCAAAATAAAATCGGTGATTTAAGTTCTTTAAAAAAAAATCTGCTTTTAACTAATATAATCACTACAAATTATATCGATGAATTTCTGAAGCTTTCATAAAATCAAGTAAGAAGTAGGAACACATTTAAAAAAATATATATTTTTACCAAGATTTTCTAATATTTTTTTTAAAATAATTCAATTCATTTGTAAATAATTTTCTAAAAATTTCATTACACTCCGAGAATTATTTGATTTTTGTAAGAAATTCTAAATTAATGTCTATCACCGCAAAAAAAGGGAAAAATATGCTATGCTAAAAGTTAGTACAACCGCCGATGCAAGAAAAACAAGATTTTAATATAAAATTGCGAATATAATAAAATGGAATAAAAGCATTTAATGAATTATTAAAAAAGACTTTGATGGTTCCTCTTAATAATAATAATAATAATAATAATAATAATAATAAATTTTAATTACATTTGGAGCATGTTCTTATAACTATTTACCTTATTCGGACTATTGTCCTCATCTTTCTCGCTATATTTATTACAACGTTTCGACCGTTGTACGCTCCGGCCTTCTTCAGGTGGTTGGAATGTCGCACGAACCCTTTATTTCCCCCTATGGGGTAGACTGTTCTAGTTCCACGTGCCATGATTAATGGATCAGTTATCTCCTGTTAATTCCTCTCTCCAAGTTCTCCACTGCCTTAACCGGGTATTGAACACACAGTCTTCATGTGTCCTTGAGGAACTAGAACAGTCTACCCCAGTGAGCGAAATAAAGGGTTCAGTTCGACATTCCAACCACCTGAAGAAGGCCGGAGTGTACAACGGCCGAAACGTTGTAATAAACATGTCGACAAAGATGAGTACAATAGTCCGAATAATGTAAACAGTGTACATAATATCTCATCTGAGAAATATAGACAGAGACTGAAGGGTCGAAACGTTGTAATAATTATGGCGACATAGATGAGGACAATAGGCTGAATAATGTAAATATTGTACATAATACCTCATCTCAGAAATATAGACAGATGTTTTCATCACTCTATGCTGATGTTTTTAGTGATCTACAATTATAAAAATATACTATAATAAAAGTTATATGACGGACAGAAGAGTTATTCCTACCGAAGATCTTAGCAACCTCTGGTCACCCTTGCAAACGAGTATACAGTTATTTTTATTACAAAACAATACAGAAAAGGATATAACGGTTTTAATAATACGTTTTTAAAAATCCGAAATTAATCGTAGATTTCTGTCTTCCAACCATCAATACCCAACATTTAAAGAATGGGTCACTTGGTATTAAATCGAGAATTTTTACTTCTTCTTTTAATTAAGTGCTTCTCGAACTATCTGTTGTTGTTTTTTTTTATGTGCTTAGGACAGGCAGCTGGGCGGCTTTTGGAGCGCTGTGTGCACCATCTTAAGATATGTTCTATTTCGAGATCATTTTGGGACTATCTGTATTAAATATAATGAGATGATGCCTTATTCATACTACGTCCAGTCATCATTGATGCAACATGTCTTTCCAGTTGGCCATGGACCGGTACCGTATTTGTGCCATAGAATTATATAATAACAAACCGGGAAAATATTATTTAAACATTCGTAGTATCATTCATTTACACCAGAAAAACATAATGAATAGAATAAAATTTGCATCATTTGTTTTTATTTCATACTTTTATGTGTAGAAATATATTGTTATGAATAATCAAGAGTGGTCTCCCTTAGTTTTGTTACTCTTCTCTTTGAAGGAGCTCTTTCTGTTAAAGTCTACCCTTATGTACATTTGTCATTACGTATATGTTCATGAAAATGGCCTTTTGGTATTCCTAGGTGTGCTCCCCACATAGTCACAGGCGACATCGTCTTGATGGTGTTGTCATACATATTTCATTTCAGTGTTTCGTATTCGTTAGTTGTATAACAATGACTTTTAAGGAGTGAGTAATTGAAAAATGTAACTGTAATAAACATAAAACTAAAATGAAAATCTTAAAACAAAAACGGAGTCAGGTATCCCGGCAGTCTCTCGTGCTGTGGAATGGGACTACCGTTTCTTTGCTTCCTGGAAACTCTCCGCGTACCGGTAGACGATAGCTCGCGTACCGATGTGGGTACGTGTACACCACTTTGAGTTGCACTGGTTTAAAGAAATTGCATTGTGGCTTCTCTTTGGCATTTGTGAATTGACAGCATGGCTCCTTTTCCACTTTGGGTTCTTCCTTAAAGAAAAATTAGGAATTGCCGATTTCTAAGATATTTTTAAATGTGAGCAAAAATCCAGATAAATTATTTAAAACTAACTCTTTACTAAAATATTTAGATAAAAATTCGGTCGAAGGATTTAGATGAACGTTTCGTCAGAAAACGAAGAAAAATAAAATAAACACTGCTACTGCAAACATAGAAAAAACATCAATCAAAAAGAAGAAAAATTATGGAGTAGCTTAAAAAAAAATTCTATCATCAGGTCGTAACACTGTTTAAAGTTAAGATGGGTCTCCCTTGACGAATAAGATGGCCGTCATTATTCCCACGGTCCAAGTAAATGGTATCTGTGTGTTAATCGTTTACTCTGTAAACGTACATTCGAGAAACTATCGCAAATAGACGCACGGAGAGGGCAGAGTGCACAAACAAAACCCAAAAAAAATGGAGGAGGAAGAAGGTTGAGAAGGAGTTGGAAAATAAAAGGTGGTGAAGTGGGTAGACGCAAAAACGGTGAAGGACCCTGCCTGACCATTAGAATTATTTTGGAAAGGCTGTTTCCTCCTCTTTGCTCCCGCTGAGACGTGACCTTTGGTGACCAATACTGAACTTTCGAGAAGGGGTAGAGGTGATACAAAGAAAAAAAGAAAGTTAAAGAGTAAGGAACAAATAAAGAATAATTAAGGAGGGAAAAGGTGAAACCGTGTTTTTTTATTTTAATAAAGAAAATAGAGACGAAGAAAGAAAAAGAAAAATTAAAGACGGAATAAGGAAAAGTAAACGAGAAATTCAAAAAAGAAAAAAAAAAAGAAAAAAAAAAGAAAAAAAAGAAAAAGGGTTTTGGTTTGTTATGGTGTGTTTTACGGCATATCAACCCGAATGGATTATTTAATGCCGACAAGATTTTTATTACTGGTAATATATTTTTTTTTTTAAAATGTATTGCTGCTAATATTTTTCTTTTTCAAACATTTATTCCTGGTAATACTTTTTCTTCAAGAATTCATTGCTGGTAATTATGTATTGCCGCTAATAAGCTTTTCTTCGAAAATTCATTAATGGTAATAAATTTTTTACAAAAATGTATTGCTGGTATTAAAAACATTTTACACTTTCATAGTGCTTTGACTCCAGTTCGGGGTTTAACTATTTGCCCACAGCTGGGACCCTAACAGGTGCTACAACCCCGGGTCAGGA